CAGTCCCGATTCAGAATGTGCACTGAAAATGCCAGAGTCAGATCAGATATCTCGTTCTCAGGAGAGTGAGATCAGTGACACAAAAAAATCTCACTCTCCTGAGAACGAGATATCTGACTCTCACTCAATTTGAGTCATAATTTTCGGTCCTCACCCACTGAGAGCGAGGTTCCTCACCGCAATAGGGTGAGGTAAGGGAAATCTTACTCCTCTAGAGTGAGAATTCGGTGCATACCACTCAAATCGGGTGAGCCGTAAAGTCATCGCTCCGATTGAGCGAGGCAAAATTGTCTCACTCATTTCGAGCACGACACCTCACTCAAAAGTAGTTTTCAGTGTGTTGTTTTGGAGGGGTACGACCTCTGACATTTTACGATTAGACGCCTCCTTGAACGTCTTTATGTGCAACGTGGTTATTTTCACCGTATTTTTGACGAACAAAACACTCTAGCGCCCGAACGGTGCAAAGATAGAGTCAAACAGACAAAACAAAGCCTAGTTCTTTGTTAACCCCTGTCGCCCTTTTTAGGGTGGTTGCCAGGTTTTGAACCAGCCGTTCCGTCGTCCAGAAGTGACCCATAAGATGGCCTGAAATTTGTAGACCTCTAGCTCATCTCCGTCCTTTTACACGGACGACAAACAGACGGACGCGACAGCGGTTGCATAAGCCCGCTTCCATGCTATTTTAAAACCAGAAGGGAGCACAGGGAGATGAACACAGTACAACTAAATAATTTGTATGAACTGCAATTAATATTTTCAGCGTAATTTACACTATGTACTGCAAATAATAACTGCTTGGATGTTTGCAGTACGAAAGGGAATGTTTTTATATATGAAACCACGGGTTTATACCGAGGGGTCCGCAAGTACGGTCTGCCGGTGTACACATGTTGTGGGCTTCCTAGTTTTCCTAGGTTTTCCTTAGGTTTTCCCGGTCTTCCCAACTTTTTCTTGGTTTTCCCAAATCTTGGTTTTCTGAGATTTTCTAAAGGCTTCCTCAGGGTTTCTGTGGTTTTCTCGCAATTTTATCGGTCTTCCCTTGTATTTTCCGGGCTTCCCCGCAATTTCTCGGTCTTCCTGAAAGTTTTACCGGTCTTCTCTTACATTTTTCGGTTTTCTCTCTCATTTGTGGCCTATGATTTTATTGGTCTTCTTCGGTTTTCTTTGGTCTTCCTGGTGGTCTTCCCGGTCTTCCCAGTTTTCCGGGCGGCCAGTGTACGCGCTCGAACCTAGTTGTGGACCCCTCGGTTTATACGGAGACGCCACGAACTCCGTGTTTGTAGGTTTCAAGTGTCAAAGTGATAAGTTGCGGAGCCCTAGCGAAGGGCGTGTCCTATATTGATCGTTCAAGAGTCCTCGGTTGATTTTTTACACAAGCGCAGTAGCATCTCAAACTTGGGAAAATTGGGCTTAAAACGAGTTTTTTTTCTCTTTGGCGCGTCGCCGTAATTCGATATCAGAAATCTGATTAAAGGAAACTTTTTAGGCGAACAGAGACTGGCTTCTGACGTGGCACGCAATATTTCCCACCATTAAACTCCTCCATTTGTATTGCTGTTATAACCAGATGACACGACGCTGGATTATTTTAGAGATATGGAACTGGTTGAGGCCCGCTGCATCCGGACTTGGAGTTCTCCCAGTCACCGAACACGTCTATTCTGCAGGTTACCGCTGAGTTCAGAGACTATTTAAGCATTAACTGTACTAAAAAATAAAGGGGAAAAACGGGAATAAGGAATCGCAAAGATGAATTACATACAATTATGAGGGGCGTTGGCTCGGGCGTTAGTAAAATTTAAATCCTACCGTACACTGTAAAAGAATACTTGTAGGAGAAATCCCACAAATGTGTATGAAGTTATTTCCATATACATGTGTAGAACTTTTCCTTTACTGGTGTATGGGGAAAATCCCATACGAGTGCAGCAGATTTCCTAGGCAGGGGTGGGATTTTCCCATACGCATTTTCAAAATGAAAATGATATCTGTGGGTTCTGTACTTGGATTTTACTCTCGCTCTACAGTCACTTCCAGTAATTTACAAGCTAATACAGGCTGATACCATCCATAAAGAAAAAATCAATAAGTTTTCGCTGTAGTGATCTTAAGACTTTACTTCAATTATTCACTATTTGTCAAGCCTGTATGGAGTATTATCTCCATCACATATCAAAATTATCCCAAATGTTAATGATTTCATACAAAAATTATACCGGCTCCATAACTCTTCAAGGTCCGTCGTTTGCACCATTCTCAGCTGGTGCTGCGTACAGCGTTGCTGTGCTGTGGTCTCTGCTGCAGTCGCTGCCGGTCTTCATATCGCACCGAGGCGACTTTGCTCGCTTCATGGCCATGGTCGCTATATATACAGCGCGTGTGGTCGCCCCACTCCTCCGCGCGGGACAGCGGCACCGGCTCTCTGACATGATTGCGGTCAGAGCTTTCTCTCGTCACCGAGGGGGTTTCCAGTCGGAGTTTCCGTTACAGTGTATTACACATTACGTGTATTACGCGGTATTACGCTGGTGATAACCAGGCTTTGAAATGAAAATTGCACAATTTTAAAGCATATTTCCCTGATTTTAGGTTTTACATTACACGTAATACCTAATTTAGGTGTACAGTGTATTACGCAAGGGAAACCCCCTCGCTCGTCACAATGCAGTTAGGGACCGTAAGCATACTTGCGTTTCAGCTTATGTCCACTTTTTCACCATCCCCCTTTCTCCTCGATGATCTGCATAACTTTACCTAACTGTTGCGATGCATCTTTGCTTACAATGTTAAAAATTCTGTTGTTAAACCCTCTAAATTATCTGTCATTTGGACCTACCTGTAACAGAATACTCTGTCAACTCCAATGCGTACATTATATACTTCAAATAAAGCGTACGTGGCATGTATACTTTAATTAATGCATACATGTCATGTACGCTTTCATAAATGCGTACATGGCCATTCAATATGCGTACATGGCAATGCACGCATTTATAAATGCGTACATCAGGTTGGCTCATTTAGGTGAGGCAGGTCGCCGATTTCACCAGTTCACCTCTCAAATGAAAGCAGAGGTTCTGCCGATCACAACGAGCACGCACAGACCCCTCAGCGTCAAGCAGAACCATAGGCGGATTAAAGCCAAATCTTCTTGTACGTTTTTCCTCGCTTCACGGGTACCATGTTCTCGAGGCCTAGAGCCTACTCCATGTCAGAAAGTCAAATCAAGGGCAATGCATGAAGCCACTACTCCCGACCCGACTACTCCCGTGACGCTTGCCGAGCACATATCTGACCTTGTTTTGAGCGTCAGATGCATAGTTCGGCGTCTAGTGTGCGAAAACTGGAGATGTGTCCCCGTGTCTGTATTTAACCGGCTGGTCCGGAATTAGACACCTTGACGGTTTCTTTGTCAGGACGAATCGCTGATGTTTACTGAAGTTCCATCCAGGATACGTCCACCGAATTTGAAGTCTGTTACCCCTTGTTATTAGTGCTTCCACCTATACTGCAGTCACTATCCACTAACCAGTGAGGCCTGTTGGACTGTGCTGATGGATACGGTCGTGTGCTGCTCTGGCCTAGCCTCACTAACTACGGCTACTGCGGTGTGGGCCGTCCACGTATCGGAACAGCACGTCTTTTACCAGTGGCGCATTCTATACCATGTAAATAAATTCCATTAAGTGAAAAAGGGGGGG